AGTGGTACTAGTGGGGGTAGTAGTAGAAAGAATAGTATTAGCCGTAGTATAGACGGGGTAGTAGTAGCCGTTGCACCAGGGGTGATTGTAGTATTAGTTGTAATTGCAGTAGCAGTCGGGGTAGTAGTAGTAGTAGTAGTAGTAGTAGTAGTCGTAGTAGTAGTAGTAGTAGTAGTAGTAGTAGTAGTAGTAGTAGTAGCCGTCGTTATCGTAGTAGTAGCAATAGTAGTCGCAGTGGCCGTGGTAGTAGTAGAAGTAATAGTAGTAGTAGCAGTAGTAGTAGTAGTAGTAGTAGTAGTAGTAGTAGGAGTAGTCGTAGTAATAAAAGTAGTAGTAGCAGTATTCGTAGTCGCCAGTGTAGTCTTAATGGTAGTAGTACTAGTAGTCGCAATCGCAGGTGTAGTCGCAGCATTGTAGTAGTAGTCGTAACAGTCGTAGTACTAGTAGTAGTAGTAGTAGTAGTAGTAGTAGTAGTAGTAGTAGTAGCAGTAGTAGTAGTAGTAGTCGTAGTCGCAGTACTGACAGTAGTATAAGAAGAAGTAGTAGTAGTAGTAGTAGTAGTAGCAGTCGTAGTGGTAGTAGTAGTAGTAGTAGTAGTAGTAGTAGTAGTAGTCGTAGTAGTAGTAGTAAGAGTAGTGGTGCTAGAACTAGTAGTACGCAATGTTGCTTGATCGAGGTGAACGTCGTCGCTGCTGTCTTTCTTGTAGGACTAGCCGTAGCCATTTTATTAGTAGTAGCAGTAGTATTGCTACTGGTTGTCGTGGTAGTAGTAGTAGTAGTAGTAGTAGTAGTAGTAGTAGTAGCAGAAGTCGTAGTAGTAGCAGGAGTAGTAAACAGTAGTAACCGTCGCCGCACTAGCAGTAGCATTAGTATCCGTGGTATTAGTAGTGCTTGCGCGTTGCACTGGCAATCGTAGTAGTACCAGTAGTAGTAGTAGTAGTAGTAGTAGTAGTAGTAGTAGTTGTAGTAGTAGTAGTAGTTAGTAGTAGTAGTAGTAGTAGTAGTAGTAGTAGTAGTAGTAGTAGTAGTAGTAGTAGTAGTAGTAGTAGTAGTAGTAACAGTAGTAGTAGTAGTAGTAGTAGTAGTAGTAGTAGTAGTAGTGGTGGTGGTGGTGGTAGTGGTATTGGTGGTGGTAGCAACAGTAGTGGTAATAGTAGTCGCCGTAGTAGTAGTAGTAGTAGTAGTAGTAGTAGTAGTAGTCGCAGCAATAGTATTTGTAATAGTAGTAGACGTGGTAAACGCAGTAGTCGCAGTAGTAGTAGTAGTAGTAGTAGTAGTAGTAGTAGTAGTAGTAGTAGTAGTAATGGTGGTAGTAGAAGTTGTAGTAGTAGTTCTCGGTGCGGTCGTAGTAGTCGTAGTAGTAGTAGTAGTAGTAGTAGTAGTAGTAGTAGTGGTAGCAGTAGTAGTCGCAGTAGTAGTGGTAGTAGTAGTAGTGGCAGTAGTGGTGGTAGTAGAAGTTGTAGTAGTAGTCCCCGGTGCGGCAGTAGTAGTAGTAGTCGTCGCACTAGTGTTTGTAGTTCTAGTAGCCGTAGTTGTCGTAGTGGTAGAAGTAGTAGTCGCCGTGGTAGCACTAGTAGTGGTAGTAGTAGTCTTAGCCGTAGTCGTAGTATTGGTAGTTTTTGGCATTCCTAGTAGTAGTAGAAGTAGTAGTGGCATTCGTGGTGGTGGTAGTAGTAGTAGTAGTAGACGTCAGTGCAGTACTCGTAGCAGTCGCAAGAGTCGGTCGTGGCGCGACTGGTAGTCGCCGTAGTAGTTCGTGTTGTCGTTGGTAAGACCGTGGTCGTCGTCGTAGTAGCCGTGGCGGTAGTAGTAGTAGTAGTAGTAGTTGTAGTAGTAGTAGTAGTAGTAGTCGTCGTCGTGTATTATCATTATCAGTATTATTATTAGTAGTAGTAATAGTCGTAGTAGTAGTAGTAGTAGTAGTAGTAGTAGTAGTAGTAGTAGTAGTAGTAGTAGTAGTGGTAGTAGTGGTAGTAGTAGTAGTAGTAGTAGTAGTAGTGGGCGTTGTCGTCGAAATGTTAGTGGGTATCGTAGTCGCAGTTGTAGTCGCAGTCATTGTATCAGTCTTGATAGCAGTGGCAGTCGTAGTAGTAGTATGCTCGCTTACGCTCCAGCTTTAGCAGCGCCGCCTTGCCAGCTTGCGCGGGTGCGCCCACAGTGGTGCCCCCCCTCGCGCCGCGGGCCCTGGTGCTTAGGCCTCCGCTCTTCGCACGGTCAACTGTGCGCCTAGCCACTCTGGCTTGCCATTTTGGCTTGCCATCCTGGCCTCCTCTCGCGCCTACTTGCGCTCGTTGGCCCCGTCGGCGGTACTGGGGTCGCCCCGTGCGCTGCCGTGGCGCCGCTGTGCGCCTAGCCACTGTAGCTTGCCATCCTGGCCTCTTCTCGCGCCTACTTGCGCTAGTTGGCCTATATGGCGGTACTAGGGTCGCCCCGTGTGCTGCTGCGCCGCCGTCGTCGCTTTACTTTGGGCCGTAGGGACCAGCTGCCCTCGGATAAGCGCCCGCCGCTGCATGCACGTCAGACCCGCCATTTCACCCAGAAGAGGTGCTCGCTACATACTGGAAATGATGCAGCCACAAGGACGCTCATCCAAAGGCGGTTGAGCCGTGGTGATGTGGTGCACGGGACCGAGTAGTCGTAGTAGTAGTAGTAGTAGTAGTAGTAGTAGTAGTAGTAGTAGTAGTAGTAGTAGTAGTAGTAGTAGTGGTAGTAGTAGTGGTAGTAGTAGTAGTAGT